GGAAAGGAAGGAAGGAAAGGAAAGGAAGGAAGGAAAGGAAAGCAAAGGAAAGGAAAAAGGAAAGGAAAGGAAAGGAAGGAAGGAAAGGAAAGGAAAAAGGAAAGGAAAGGAAAGGAAAAAGGGAAGGAAAGGGCTTCGGGGGGGTGGGCAGGGGAGGAGTGGAAATTTGAGCCAGCTACCGAAATATGGGTCTGACTTTGCCACGTGGGGTTGCAGTGGGGAGCAGGTACAGGTGGGCAGTGGGGAGGGCTATTCCCTGTAAAAGGAATTGATTCAGTCAAGGCAGGGGATGGCGAATCCCAGACTCAAACTACGAGGGCAGAGCAAAGGTGGGCTCGTGTGTGGTTGCAAAGGAGAATCACTGACCAAGAGATTGCATCCTTAACCAGCACAGCCCAGATGGGCTCTTCCCGGGGCAGCTGCGGTGTGTGTGAGCCTCGGGAAGGCACGCAGCCACCCCCTACCCCTGTGTGCTCCCTAATTTGGCAACACAGCTGCGTGAGGATGTCACCGCATTATGGTCACACACAGGCCTGTGAGAAAAAGGTCCTTGCCCCTTGGCTAAGAGCATTCATCACTCAATTCACAAATGGTCACTGCATGCCTGCTGCGTGCTAGGGGCTGTGATGGTGGGCACCGCACAAAGCAAGGCAGGACCCTGGCACCACGGAGCTTGCGTACTGGTCCAGAGACACGCGTATCCAGCAAAAAAGCAATGACGCATATTTAATTACAATGTCTGGGGACGATGAGGCTGTGCAGGAAAATAAAGACAAATGACAACGGGGTGGGAGTGGCAGGGGTGGGGCTGCCGTCCGAGATAAAGTGGGCAAGGAAGCCGTCTCTCCTGAGATGACACTAGCACTAGGCATGACATAAGGCGGCAAGCCGTGGAGGGGAAGGGGGCAGACAGGTAAGTGTCCCAAAGGGAGAATGAACTTGGTCGGCTCCAGGAGAAGCCGGCAGGCCCGTGTGGCTGGAGCCGGTGGACAAGGGGGCGCATGGCAGGAGATGCGGCAGGATAGGGGACAGGAACAGGAAGAGGACAGGGACCCCTGGCACAGGCCACGGGAAGGGTCGTGGGGGGCACTCGTGCTCACCGCAGTGGGAGGAACCACCTGCCCGCACCGGCTGCCCTGTGGGGAATGAGGGCAAAGCGGTGAGTAGGACTGAATATGCAACGTCGTCTGGAGATGGAGGCCACGGGACCCGCTGACCTCTCCCGGGAGGACAGGCAGGAGGAGCAGTCCAGGAGGGCTATGTCCGGGTGCACGCAGCCGTCACCTTGGGGGCCTAAGCTAAGCCTTTGGTGGAGAGGCCCTCTAACCATACTCACGGAACAGCCCTGTGCATGGGGACTTGGGCTCTCTCTCTCTCTTTATAAAGGAAAAAGAAAATGAAAGCAAGTTAGAGGGTACTTCAGTTCAGACATCGAGCCCTCGTAGGACATGAGGCACTTGCCACAGAAAACGTTCCCCCACAGCCCACACCAGCGCTGGCTGCAGACTGCAAGGGGACCGGGCATGAAAGGCGCCCCCTCGGCTCCCTTATGCCAGCTTGTTGTTGTGACTTGACTCCTGTTCATCAAGAGCCAAGTAAAGAAGCCCCTGCTAAGAGCAAGCCAGAGGCCTGGCCCCCTTCCATCACACAGCCGTATCAAGAACAAAGGTTGTGGACATTTTCCATGGGGTGGCTGCACACTCTCTTTTGATTCCTCTTTCAAAGAGAGGGAGAGGAAGTGTTCCCCCTTTTGGTGAACACATCGCAGCCACGCAAACAGAGCTGGCTTTGAGAGTGCAAGGAGCACCCCACTCCCCATTTTTTGGTGACTTTAATGATTAGAAAAGGCTTTCCTCTGCATTATGCTCCTATTAGCTTGGTTCTCACCCCAAAAGTAATGCTCGGAAGAAGGTGGGGAGAAAAAAAAATCCCACTGAGCTATTCTGAAGCTCAGTGAATATGGGAAGGAAAAACAAACGAAAGGAGAGGTAGTTCACGTTTTAAGGCTATGTGCGGGCACCCTAAGCCCTCAGCCAGTTCATAAACAACTTCATTTGAAAACTTCCAGCTTGCAATTTAGTCATTCTTCAGTGAGAAATATGTGATTTGCCACACATGAAATGGAATCATTATGCCTTGACAAAATCGAAGGCAAATCAAAACTGGCTCTATGTGCTTCATACTTCCTTCTCCTTAATAAATTAGGTCTCCCCGTGGAAGGCATTCCAGAAAGACGCTAGCATGGGGCTCTGCCTGGAAGAGGGATGCACACCGATCATCAGAACGCAGGCAGCTCGACCGGCCCACCCCGTCCTACCCCCAACTCACATACACACAGAAAAGGAACCTGCCTCCTCCCTCTCCAGCTCTGTATTTAAAGCCCCACACAAGCCAGCCACAGCACAAGGCTATTCAGACCAAACGCAGGATAAGAGTGCATAGACCTACGCACACACAAAAGTGCATGTAAACACTGGTGAATTCTGAATAAGGTCTGCCGTCTAATTCAACAGTACTAGGTCAACGTCACTTTTGTGGTCTTGCTAGTGTGCTACAGTTATGAAAGACCTCACCACTTGGGGGAAGCTGGGGGAAGGATACACAGGACTCTCTCCCATCTTTGCAACTTCTTGCAAATCTATAATTGTTTCAAAATAAAGAGTTTTTTGGTTTTTGTTTTTTTTGTAATGCCACATGTATTCGTTCTACGGCAAGTGGCGTCTGACCACTCAAACCACTCTGGTTAAACAGATCCTTGAAGTGTCCGTCATATACAAGGCTGTTTTGGGGTGGTCTCAGGAAATACTCGTCGCCACTGTTTTCTCAGTGTTCTTAAGTCATCTTGCCCCAAAGCAGTCCTCTTAAAGACCAGGAGGGGTCAGGCGCCTCCCGAGGAAGGGTCTGCTGTCACAGGCCAATGGGGGTTGGGTCACAGTTACCCTAGATCCAAATCCCACCGGCTCTGCTGCTGCTCCGGAGGTCTGGAGCTTTAAGATGCATCAGGGTCATGGGAGTGTGTTTGAAGTGCTGATTTCAGGGCCCTGCACTCCACAGGTCCTGACTGAGTAGGATATGGATGGGGCCTGGGAATCTGCATTGACAACAAGAGCCCTGCGTGATTCTGTCGCAGCAGGTCCCAGGGCTACATCTGAGGAAACACTGTCAGATTCCGGGTGAGTGCCTGGGAGCACGCCCAGGTTAGCTCCCCACTGCAGGACGACCAGAAGAGCTGGCAGGCGCTCAGCATCCACACAGGAATGTGCCCCTCACACCAATGGAGAGAACTAAGAGTGCACAAGCCACAGACCTCCAACCCCAGTGCTTACAGAAGGTCACGGGGACCTCCTGTGTGGGTCCTTCGGAGGCTGTAACCATGTGGCTTTTAGGATATGGTGCAGAGTTTGGGCTCTATCATCATCGTGGCTATTTTTTGCCGAGTGCTGATTATGCGTTAAGCAAATTACATCTCATTTAATTTTCACAACACGGCTCTGAGGGAGTTGTTATTTATCATCCCCATTTTACAGATAAGAAAACCGAGGCTCCCAGAATTCCAAGAGTACATAGGCAGAAAGTGGCAGAATCAGGAGCTGAACGCAGGGGCTCTGGGCTGAAACCTACTGTGTGATACCACCTTTGGCAGCAAGTCTCCTCTTGAGGTCCTCACCCCCTCCTGGATAAAACACTCCACTTAAACGTAACTGATACTCGAAGGACTCATGAAGGGAGAGAGGGAGGAAGATTTTCCCCGTGTCTGTTTCGGTGGCATTAACACTCCTTTCCAACTTCAGACCCAAACCCCTCCAGGTCCCTCCATGATCTCTGTGACTCTCCGGTGCAGTCTATTCTCTCCTACTATTTCTTCTCTCTTCACCTTTTTACTCCCCGCCCCCCCCACTACCTCCCCAAAGTTCTAAACTACAGGCTCGGTGTGCCCGTCATTTTCCCCACCTCCCCCACTGCCAGAGTAAGAACCTTCTCCTGTCATTCTCTCGTGATACAGGCTATCTGAAGAAATGAGCATTAGGTTCCTTGCAAGGCAAATGACCTACCACTTTCAAGAGGACACTGGGGAATCTTGTTTGCTCGAAGGTTCCAAATATAATCCATGTTCCACTCAAGGCACACTTGATGATCTTTGAAAGGGCGTTCGAAAGGTGGGACCGCCTTCAGCAGAGTATAATTCTTCGCTACAGCATGTAGCAAATTTTCCTCCCATTTAACATTCAAGTCTCCACCACTGTATTTGTGAGTAATCCAGGCGCGTAGTATCACCGCGGATACTGCAATGGAGTGTCTGATGAAATAATCATCTCTATAAACCATGATGCTTGGAAATTTCACATGTACTATTTGTGTCCTGCTGGTGTGAAGATGCTTCTCGTTCTTCCACCTCTTTTTGTACACAGGGATGCTACTTCTGAACTCAGATGAAACAATGGCTTCCAGATTGACAACACAAGGCTGAGAGCATAAATACTCAACCGAGACTTCAGAAACATTGCGGACATTCCCTTCAAAGACAGTGAAATAAATAAAGTCTTTGTAAGCCACGCTGTGCTCAGCTTTGGGGGTCACCAACGTCGTCAGGGAAGTCTGCCTGCCCAAAGACGGCATGATGTTCTGAAGAGGGGGAAAAAAAAAAAAAGGAAGAAAGAAGGACAGAAAGTTTAAAAATCATCACATTAACAGATATGTGAATCATTTTCCGGGGATAAAAAAATCCATCTACAGAAAGCACTGAATGTGGAACATAAAAGATGGCAAAACCACTCCCCAACAATTAGAGAAAAACCAACACACACACACACAAATGAAGATTAGGCCACATTTAACTCTCTCCCCAGACTCAGTAGCATCTGCTGATCAAAATGGGACTTTCAAAGCTACGTGGCAATCATTCCAGAGTTGGTTTCCAAATGGAGGAGCTAGTTCGCAACAAATCCAGGAGCGGTGAGCCTGCCTTAGCGTGAAAAGGAGATGAGCCAGGCTCAGACATTTACAAAGCATTGTCCTGACTTCAAATGGCGATCAGATGCAGCCAAATCAAAGGGTGGGGGAAGAGTTCAAAGTGTGCCCGAGAGGGGACATGACAGGGACGCCAACCTGGCCCCTTTTTTCTCCCGTAAATTCCGAGCCAGGACAAGTGCACATGACGGATGGACCAGCAGGAGGTTTCCACTGCTCCAAGTCACACACAGGCAGGCTTGGACAACAGACTGTGTCGTCTGATGCTTTCACCATGGACGGTGCTACATGGGCCAAGAAAGATTTTAGCTGTGTGTGTTATTTCTCTAGTTCTTTAAATACGAAGACCTCTTAAAATGGACATTCCTTGCTGAAGAAATCTTGGAAGTTGGTCATGAGATCAAGACAATGTTTTCAGCATATGATACAAGAGTTCTTCTAAATATAACTTTGTGATTCAGGCATCCAAAACACAATAGCGAAAAGGTTACTTTGGACCACTTCACACCCATTAGCACGGCTATTATCCAAAACCAAAAACAAAACAAAAATAACAAGCGTTGGAGAGGAGGTAGAGGAACTGGACTCTTTGTGCATTGCTGGTGGGAATGTAAAATGGTGTGGCCACTGAAGGAAACAGGACAGCATCTCCTCAAAAAATTAAACCTAGGATCCAGCAATTCCACTTCTGGCTATAAGCCCAAAATAGTTGAAAACAGGGACTCGAAGAGATACGTTCATAGACATACACCCATGTTCACAGCAGCATTATTCACAATAGTCAAGAGGTAGAAATGACCTCAATGAGTAAAAGGATACACAAAATGTGATATATACACACAAGGGAATATTATTCAGCCTTAAAAAGAAAAGGAAGTCTGACGCATGCTACAAGATGGAAGAACTTTGAGGGCATTATGCTGAGTGAAATAAGCCAGGCACAAGGAATAAACACTGTATGATTCTACTTATATGAAGAACCTGGAGCAGTCAGATGCACAGAGACAGAAGGGAGGATGGTGGTTGCCAGGGATCGGGGTTGGGGGGGGTGATCATGGGGACTTATTGTTTAACGGGCACAGAGTTGCAGTTTTACAAGAGGAAAAGAATTCTGGAGATGGATGTGGTGATGGTTCCACCACAATATGAATGTACTTAACATCCCTAAACTGTACACTTAGAAGTGGTGAAAATGGTAAATTTTATACTGTGAATATTTTTAAAAGTTTAAAGAAAAAGGTCAGTTTTCCAAAGAAGGAAGATGTAAGGACCCCTTTGTTCACTTCTGGCTGAGGGTTGTAGGAGACGCAGAAGGGGCTGAGACACAAAGCTGGGTATCAGGGAATTGTGTTTACAAAGAGCAGTAACACCAGGCAGGACGTGATGAGGGCTCCAGTCAAACTATAAGCAAGTCCTAAAGGAGTACAGTCCCAGGTGAGGGTCATTCTACCGGGGGTCGTCTAGAATAGCCTTCATGGAAGGAATGATATTTCAGCTGGGCTGGGAGGGGGGAAGAGAAGTTCTTTAGGTAGAGAGGCACAGGGAAGACCATACAAGTGGTGTGAATAGCTTAAGCAGGGGCAACACAGATGTACTAGAGAGAGGGCAGATTGGTTTGACCAGAGAACAGAACAGGGGTAAAGACACAAAAAGACATGAGGATATGAGGTTGGAAAAAAAAAAAAAAAAAGGCAGGGTCCTAGCTCTGAAGGACACTGAATCCCCCAGCCCAAGGAATGCGGACTTTGATTCTACCGACAGTGAAGAATCAATGAAAGTTTCTGGAAAAGGGAGCAGTGTTTCTATTTGAAAGCACTGATCGTCAATTAGAAACAAAGCTGACAATCAAGAAAAATGAGCAAACGACAGAGTTCATCAATAAGTAAATTCCCACTGATAGTCAGAGAAAGGCAAGTTGAAACCACACTGAAGAGATCAGTTTGAACTTACTAGGTTCACAGAGATCAGAAAGTCCGATAACACTCTGTCCCGGTTGGACTGGCCTCTTATGTCCTGCTGGGGAAAGTGATCTCTGTGGATGGCAGTCAGGCAGAATCCATCAAAAATATAACTGCACCCACCCTCCAGTCCAATAATTCCTCCTCTAGGATTTTATCCTACCCATATACTCAAATATGTGCAAAATGATGTATGTACGGGCTTGCACTCCAGCACTGTTTGTAACAGCAAAGGATGCAGAACTAAATGCCCATCAAGACCGAGTTGGTTCAGTAACTGATAGGACATCCACTCCTGGAGTGCTAGATAGCTATTAAAACAAGGAAGAGTTTCACGGACAGATAATGAAGTGAGCTCCAAAGTTTGAAGTTTGTTTTTTTTTTAAACAAGGTTCAGAAGTACCATTTGAGGTTTTTTTTAAGAAAAGGAAAAATAGATACACATTTGCTTGAATACACATAGCATTGGTTGCTCACATGGAGAAGGATGAGGTGACCAAGAGACAGGCTAAGAGAGAGACGTGTGCTATATATCCTTATTTATCTTTTGGATTTTGTACTACATGAATATTAAAAAAAAAAAACAACGGAGTTGAGGGGGGATGGAGAGAAAAGCAACTGTCCTAAAGATGAAAATAAAAAAATGTAGCTTCTCCAAGTGGCGGAGTGAGAAGGGCTGGCCATTGCTTTTGATTAGTCATGGGAAAACTGTGGGAAGAAATATGTAAAGAGGTGGGTACAGTCCAAATTGTCTGCTCCCGCAGTGAGAGGCTTAATTGTTTCATGCTCTCATTTATACTTCCAAATTGCAGGGGGGAAAACAAACATAAAAATAATCTTATAATTAGAAGTAGCTACTCTAAGAGCGGACGAGCCCTTGGTGATGAGCCAGCCCACCCCATTCTTCCAACAAGGCAATGATCACTGAGAGGGGATGTCCTCCGACATCACCCAGCTGGTGGCTTCCCAGAGGCAAGCCCAGGAGCCCAGCCCCTTGCTTTCACTCCCTCTCCCACGTTCTCCAGCCCGCAGCACACAACAGCGAGACTATAAACAGTTGGCCAGGCGGAATTCTGCTTTCTTGTGAATAGAGATAGCCCCAGCATTTGTCCACAAGCGGCGGTTTGTTCATTCAGCCAGATGTGCCAAGATGCGACCCCCTTCTCAAGATGCGAATCCAGTCGATGAGCCCCCCGCGGAGGCCAGCCGAAGACAGAGAGGTGGGCACCCCTCATTCCAACTGCCCCTCATGCCCACCATCACTCAATTCCACATTTGCCCAGTTAATGAGGCAACAGAGAGCAGAGTCCAGGACATGCTGTGACATACTGAGTATCACCTGGTGTTCTTTTTCCAAGAATGACTTAAAACCTCTTCCTCGTTCCTTTTATGTATACCTTAAAAAAAAACCCAGCCCTCTTCTCCCACTTCAATTTTTAAAAAAACAATTTTTTTTTTAAAGATTTTTATTTATTTATTTGACAGAGAGAGACATAGCGAGAGAGGGAACACAAGCAGGAGGAGTGGGAGAGGGAGAAGCAGGCCTCCCCCTGCAAGCAGGGAGCCGGATGCGGGGCTCGATCCCAGGACCCTGGGATCACGACCTGAGCCAAAGGCAGACGCTTAACGACTGAGGCACCCGGGTGCCCCTTCAATATTTTTTTTAAATCATGTTTTTATCACTGACGCTAGAACTCCAAGTTAATACTTCTTTTAAACGGAATTCTGGGGGAAAAGTTATATGATTTCACTGCAAAGTGCAGTTAGTAGTAATGTTCATTACTTTACTTCTTAGTGCTAAACATGCATCAGTCCACTTTCCCACATTAAGAAGCACAGCGTGCTGAAGCTGGTTTCAGCTTCGCTTGATGACCCATAACATCAGGCTCATCATTGCCGAGATCAGCGGTGACAGATGAGAACGAAGAAGGTATAGGACACCTGACCGTGTTCTCCCTCCAGCCCTTCCATCAAAATTCGGCTTTAAAGGAAATCTCTATACATGCAGATGGAGATTATTTTATTTTCACCTACTTCAAAGCCTCAAGTGCAGGAAAAGTAAATCCAAGGTTTACAGGTTCTAGGTGGGTGCTATCTGATACGGAAGCCACGAGTCCTATGAAGCGCTGGTAATGGGGCTGGTCCAAATTACTGTGTGTGTACAATATACACTGGATTCCAAAGACAATTTAAAAAAAAAAATGCAAACTATCTCATTAATATTTCTTATCCCGATTACATGTTGAAATGATCATATTGAGATAGGGCAAGTTAAATAAAATATATTACTAAAATTAATTTCACCTGTTACTTTTTAAATGCAGCTATGAGAAAATCTGAAAGTACACACGTGGCTCGTATTTGTAGCTTACATTATATGTCTGACAACTGGATGGTGCTACTCTGGATTTGAAGTTAGCAGACTTTTCCTGTAAAAAAGGGCCATATGGTAAGTACTTTAGGTTTTGCAGGCCACTTGGTGTCCGTGAAGAACTACTTAGCTCTGCTGTCGTATCAAGAAAGCGGCCACAGACAACTAAGTTCGTAAGTGAAGGAGCACGGCTGTGGTCCAGCTCAACTCTGTTTGCAAAAACAGGCAGCTGGTTGCGCCCGTGGGCCACAGCTTGCCGACTACTGTTCTAGATTATCGAGCTTTTATTCTAGATTTAGAGGTTTGGAAAACACAACATGACAGAA